GTTATTACCCCCGGCACCCTACGTCGGGGACTCGTCATCTAAGTTAACGATGTCAGACGTAGCGACCCGGGGAGTTCCCTGGGACAAAAGAATAGAGACCTCACCCACTAGCCGGGTGTGGCGTCACCCACTTGTAAGGGTGGGGCCTAGCCTAACTGCCTACTCACTCCCCCAAGCAGGAAGGGTATGCTCACCTTTGCTTTAACCTTTGCCTTCTTTGAAGGCTCTCCACCCCCTGATGGGCTCTAACTTCTCACCTTCAACTTCCTCCTCCTCTTATTCTCCAAGCTCTCAGCATGAGCAGTGGTCAGACTTGTACCTTCTAAGCGAGCGTCTATTTTGGATGCATTGGCTTTTATCTGCTCAGCCTCCTCCGAGGCCAAGTCTGTGTTAGGATTCATGTTTATGAGCTTACTATCTAATCTTATTTTGATGATTTAACAAATAATTTATAATTGTGTGTTTCCAGTGTTTTGTGTTTATTATATATCCAAGTCGATGATATCTGAAAAGAAGCCAATACTAATCAAGTCAAAAATTCAAGAACAAGCTTCATATGCTACTACTTGGGTATAATAGTTTAGGATTTATATATTGTGTGTTGATAATTCAAGAACAAGCTTCATATGCTACTACTTGGGTATAATAGTTTAGGATTTATATATTGTGTGTTGATACTTCAAGCTCAATATTATGCACATACTACTTGGGTATAATAGTTTAGGATTTATATATTGTGTGTTGATACTTCAAGCTCAATATTATGCACATGCACATTCCTTGGGTTTATCACAATTTGGATATTTTTATGAAAATATTGCGTTATTGGTTTATTGACTAAATAATCCATGCATACATCTTTTATTAAGTCTATAAATTAATTTAAAAAGAGTTCATAACTTGGTTTAAGTCAAAAGTCAAAAATCAAGTGTTTTAAATATACATGTATTTGTAAGTTTTTGCAAAACAAAGAGTTTTCACAAACGAGAAATGATATTTCAAAAAAAAAAAAATTCTGTAACATGCTCATTTTCATGTTTATAAACATTTCCCCAAATTTTACATTTTATAAAATTTATTTGATATTTTTAAAGAGGGTTCAAAGTTTAAATTTACTGTTCAAAAAACCCATGCGCACATTATCAGTCGACTGATGCCTGTTAGCAGTCGACCGATGAAACACGCTGGAAAGAGCAGAAGTTTCAACTCAGTCGACTGATGTAGGTTATCAGTTGAATGATGAGTTCATCAGTCGACCGATAGTAGATGAGCAGCATGTAACGATCAGCTCATCAGTCAACTAATGGAACTGTAATGGCTAGTTTTCCAGCCTGCGTGATTTTTGGGTTTTTTTTTATCTTTTTGCTTGGATTTTTTTGGTTCTTGGGTTTTGTTTCATGAACCTATATATACCACATTCCCTCTAACTTCTGAACTAACCAAGAAAAGCTTTAAAATAATTTTACAAAGGTTTAAGTTTGTTTAATTGTGCTTTTCAAGTGTTTATGTGAAGAGGTTTTCACAAGAGGAAGAGGAGATCATTCTTTTCGTGTTTGGGCTTCAATTTCATTCTATCTTACTCTTGTTTACAGAGAAGTTTTCTCTAAACTCAATTTCAAGACTTAAGCTTAAGTATTTTCACATATAGTATAATTATTGGATTGTGGGCTTGTAATATTGAGAGTGAGCTTAATTGAGTTCTCATCTTGTTAGAGAATAAACCCTTTGTATTTGTGAGACTATTTGTTGAGATCACGTTGTAATACATAAGGACACTAAGAGAAGTGGTTGGTGAGAGACGGGGTCAATTTCAAGAGGAGTGGTGTTGGTAGTAAAGCCTAGGGAGAGGTGATAAATCCAAGCACTTAATGAAGTTAACACGGGCTAGGCCAACACTTAGAAGGTGTATTGTGCGATTACGATTGTGTGAGTTGTGAAAGTTTCGGTGAGCTAGAAAATCGATTGTGTGAGTTATAAATGTTTTCGGTGAAAACTAATTGAGATAGTAGAGATTCTCCTCGAGAGTGGGGAGCGGAGACGTAGGCCGAGAGTGTACGAACTCTGTGATCATATTGTGTGTTTGCAATTATCATTTGCGGACTATCTCATTTGCATCTTGTGTTCATGTTTATTTCGCCCTTGTTTAATTACATATCTCTGCTCATATTTTGTTGAATATCAATCTTGTTAGGATATAATTGTTAATAAGTTTTAATATAACATTAATATCAAATTAGATTAGTATATACCCTATTCACCCCTCTCCCCTCTAAGGGTATTTCAGTCTGCTCAGAGGCACTTTTGACGTTGCTGAGGACTCACCTTGGGAGAAGTTGGTTGCCCATTTCTATAGCGCTAGAAGAGCAGTTTGAGCCTTATCATCCTCGGTTCGATGGGTGCTAGAGATGTCGGCAACTTGTAGTACTGAATTACAAAGTTAATGTAGCAAGGCCTCGTGTAGGCCCAGATTTTCTCCAACCCATGACTCTCAGACACTGGGAGGAGGCCTATTTTCAGAGCTTCTTTTTTTATCTTAGGGCAAGTGGAGCAAGCTAGAAGAGGGTCGGCACCGATAATGAAGAAGAACTAATCCCTCCACCCTTTTATTAGAGTCGGGGATGTTGAGAACAAGCTTGAAACCCTCCGATGTATGTAAGTAATAGTACCCCTCATTCTAGGACACCTTGGCACAAATCAAGTGGCCGGGGATACTTAGCATAGGCTCTACACCCACCGGATGGCAAATAACAACAAAGCCAACGAACAGGGCAAGTGAGTTCAGCTTGAGCTGTAACGGTAAGCCCCTAGGACCTCAGAGTCATCAAAGAAATGGATGGATTGAAAAATGCAAACCATACTCTAGAAATTGGAAGCACACCAAAGTTATGTTCCCGCTATGGTGGTAGATACCGATAGAGTAAACGCCCGAGGGATGTCAAACCAGTCATAGTAGATCTCAAGGATCGACCAGAGCATTTTGGAATGAAACTCCCGAAGCAAAGTGATTCTAGCTTCATTGCAAGCAGGAGCGCTTGGAGCAGAGGAAGCCAATGATTCTGGCGAAAGAGATCAACAAAAATCATAGGAGATGATGGGAAATCACACAAATGCAATAGACTAAATTATTGGAGAAGCAGGCGTATATATAGGTGAGGGAGTGGACGCATGAAATGATTTGAACGGAGGACTCGGTTATCAAAGGACGACTAAAAAGGCACACGAGATCGAGGTAACCGCTCGAAAATTGAAGTGGTACCCACCATTAACTATCACACGATCTCCTTATGTCAGTACATAACATCAACAACGTCCCATTAATAACCCCTTATTAAATGCGCTTTAGATTTCTAGGAGACAATTTGAATTTCACTCGGACCCAAAAACCCAAGTTCGAGTGAAATGGGCCAATGTTGTACTATTGAAATTGTTAAATATAAACTAGTGAAAGGATGACACACGTCTCAAGTAGCCGACTTAAGCACTATAACACTAACCTAATTCAAGTCTCTAGAATACTGACTCCCCACCTAAAAGCACTTTGACAACCAAGATGAAAGGCGTCACCCATGCTTTCTCTCAAAAGCTCGAGATGAAAGGTATTATCACTCAGACTCTCTCGAAGGACTGAGATGAAAGGCATCTCCCCTTGCAATTGGCGATACATCTTAAACCACGAGGGAACCTATCTGCTTCGGCTTTCCCAACAACGTCAGCTAGCCACCGACGCATTAAACACATGGCCAGAACTATCAATACTCCCTCGTTGAAGTCATAATGACTCCTCAGACCACACCAACACCTTAACTATTTTGCATGGACCCACTGAAGTTACCAAAATACCATTTTCAGCTCATTATAAATATGTAGATTGTCTTCTGCATAAAGGTAGGATATTTTCTACGACAAAAAATGCTAAAAAATTACTTCTTTTATGTATTTTCTCCCTTAAAATCATCACTAATTTGATCGCTGAAGAAGCCACTAGAGAACCCAACTCCGACCTTCTAACATTCTGCATTTGTGAAGGAATCTTCTTCTGCTCAAAGTGGTCAGCCATCAAAGAGGATTAAGGCACCTGAAGCTCTCCCAAATCCACTAAAATTCACATATTTAGGTTTCCGACATATTTCAATTGTAATGCAAGCGGAAGTAAGAAACCTCAGAATCTACCAAGGGGTTGTCCTTTGAATCCACAGTGAGCGATCTTTAAATCCATGAAGAGAATATAATAAAGAGAAAATTATCGATGAAAATAACAAAACTGTCCTTAAAAGGTCTCTATGATTTGGGGAAATAAATTGGTCAAATTTAGAATCAAATCAGATTTATTTTTTAACCAAAACAAACTCTTAAAATATTACGTAAAATAGTAAAAAACTAAGAAAAACTCTGATACCTCTCAATCCAGAGGGAATTTCGTGAAACAGGTGGTGGAAACCAAACAATAGTTAGTTTAGTTGACTCCTTCTCGAAAAAATAAAGCGATTTTCATATATAATTCGTTCAATTCCGAGTACGGTTTGGGAGATAATACTCTTTCTTTGATGCAAGTCATTTTCCTTTGTCGGGTTCGTGTTTGGGCTTCTGACAGTCCAGTTTAGCTATAAATATATCTGCAATGTGTTCTACATCAAATTGTATAGTTAACATACCAAAGACAAAGAAAACCTACTACATCTCTACAAGAACAAGGATTGCAGGAAGCATGTTCTACATAAAAGTCAACTTTGTATAAGAAGAGAAAATATATTCTTTCTACTCAATGGTCAATAGTACCTTGGCTAGAGAAGCGTGCAACTACATTGCAGAAAGTAAGCCTATTTTTCACAAAGAAGGCGTCTTTGTTCCATAAACCTTTTCAATTTAGTAGTTAAAGAAACCATACGAGAGAAAAGAAAAATGCCAAAATGACAAAAAATGGGACAAATAATGGGATAGGTGAGGTGTCAACCTTACATTGCATAATGAACTGGCCATGACCAGCATAATGAATGCTGGCCATGGCCAGCTCATTATGCAAGGTGAGGTTAACACCTCGCCTGTCCCCCTATCTGTCTCATTTTTTGGGTCCCTGTAGCAACATCCGAGAGAAAAACATATCTGTATGTCTTATATCTTTTATTATATTTACTAGCTAATTCTTGACGTTTCACATTTTCCTCTTCTGTCAAATGGCTTATAATAGATACATTGTCGGATTAACCTTTATTTTATAATTTTCTTCTAATTATTCACATATAGAAATCTTGATTTTTGCTTATCTACAACTAGTGTGAACACCGTGCAAAGCACAGTATACGACACATCATTTTTTTTCCCCTGCTACAGTAATCCCGGTTTTAAATGCTACTGTAGTATTTTTTTTTAAAATACTACAACATCCCGTCTCTGCAACAATTTTTTCAAAAAGGTTGTAGTATTCCGTACGCTACAGTAATATTTTTCAAAAAAAACTATAGTATCTCGTTTCCTGTTTGTTACTATAGTAATGCTAAAGTAAATATTACCGTAGCATAAATAGTAAATCTTAGGTTATCTATTTGCATAGAGGAATTGATTTCAATCAAACATGGAAAATCCCGTGTAGAAAGGCAATCTATACAGAAGGCCTTCCGTTTAGGTCTAGGAAGACGGATGGCAAAATTTTCGTTTCCCCACCGCTCAAAATATTTCCGTCTTATTTTCCCCTCATCTTTCAAACTAGGTGTGTGCAACGGTCGGTTCGGTTCGGTTTTTACCAAAATTTAAACAACCGAACCGAACCGCCTATAATTCAAAACCGAACCGAACTGTTGCAAGTCGGTTCGGTACGGTTCGGTTCGGTTTGTTCGGTTCTAACTTCTCGGTTCGGTACGGTTCGGTTCGGTTTGTTCGGTTCTAACTTCATCAAACTTCTTATCAAACAACAAACAGTGTTAAAGAAAAAAAAAGATATCAACAAAATAGGAGATTATGAAGCATTAAACACTGATATAATGATATTGATTTCAACCTATAATAATTCAGAAAATGTGTTTAGGGTTTGAGTCTTTGACTCTTTGGGGACGGGTCGGGTAGGGTTTGAGATAAGAATTGGGTAGTATTGTACTATATTCGGTCGGTTCGGATCGGTTCGGGTCGGTTCAGGTTAAAAAGTTTTCAAAACGACCCGAACCGCCCTACTCATAAAACCGATTTTTCTAAACCGGTTCGGGACGGTTCGGTCGGTTTTTTCGGTTTGAGCGAACCATGCTCAGCCCTATTTCAAACCCTTCAATTTTCCAATCCTTGGCCGTCCTCCAGTCCCTCCTTCGCCAAACTCTAGCTTCTCTCTCTCCTCTCACCAACTCCCCCCAAAAACCCTAGCTTCTCTCCTCGAC